TAAACTGCTGAGAGGAGCTGTTGTCATAGAGTAGGCACTCAAAATGATCTGTTATTTTTGTCATGATTGCTTTTATATCTGGCAATACTCTGGTTCCAGAAGTTGCTTTCATAATATAGTTCATGCTGATCATTTGTGTATTCTTTAAACTATGTAAATTTCCTGAGTAGCTAAAATTTATTTGTAGTCTCCTAATCAATACTCAACATGGTATTTGTTGATATTTGCATATGTTTAAAGTGGTGAAAAGTTTAAGTTGCCCTTATGTATATTTTCCCAGTTGAGGTAGAATAGGTGCCTTTCTATGTCAGTTTATACTGTTAACACAAGTCCTTTTTGCAGTATATTTAGTTCTATTTTTTTTTACCTTTTTGTGCTATTTGTTGGTGACTTTGTGTTTAAACTACTCCTCAGTGTAGTGCTACACTGCTGTCTTGCGATCTGACATGCAATAAGACAGATGTGCTTTTTAAAAATGATGCAATGTTAGATTTGTTCAGGCATGAATTATAGTGACATCGGAATGAATTCAATTTTAATAAATTAGAGATGTATATTAAATAACGTGCTTTAAACAGAAATACACATAAAACAAGAAAATGTATTGATCTGTTGAAGAAACTTTTGTGGTGGAATATTCAAAAGAACATAACTCTGTATTTCCCCTAGGAGCAGTGGTTCAATATTCCCTAATATTTTGTTTGCAGTGACTTTATAGAATGTGCACAAGAATCCAGTGTATCTTATTTAATCTTCATAGCATACCTTTTCAGTGTGCAGGACAAATAACATGGTAACCACATTTTACTGTCTACTGAAGACCTATGTATCAATTAAGAGGATTTAAAATGTTTTATGTTCCGCATAAGAATCATGAGTTTTTTAGCATGAAAGTAAATGATGAGCAAATGCCAGGTAAGAGAATGTGGTATTACTATGTCGAGGGAGAATGGAACCAGGTAGGTGAACCAGTTGCTAAATTATCAAAATGTCCTCATTATGAGGTAAGAAGAGCCTCAACTGAGGTGCTAATGGGATAAAGGAAAAGAAACAGTAAAATGTTGAGACAATGTATTTTGTACCATATTTAGGCTAGAAATTAGACTATGATTCTCAAAATGTGGTGTCTGGAGCAGCAGCCTCAGCATCACTTGGAAACTGCTAAGAAATGGGAATTCTCAGGTCCTGCTTCAGATCTACTGAATTGGAAATTATGGTGGTGTGGTCCAGAAACCTATTTTGCAACAATCCCTCTTGTGTACATCAAGTTTAAGAACAACAGAATTAGAAAAAAAGATTCAAAGATGTCACCACACTTAGGTAAATTGCAAGGAAGGAAAGTGATATTTATTGGAAGGATAAGGTGAGGGTAACCAAACATTAATGATAGCTAAGCATGTATGAAGCAAAACTTTGATGAGGGAAAAAAAACTTGCATGTAGTTAGTATGGAGATGAGAGGTTGAAAATGTAAAAATTAATGAACTCTTCTGGTATATATGCAGAAGACAGAAGGCAAAGGGCAATCTTGGAGTTACTACAGATTTGCCACCATATGCCTCCCACCCCCAATTCTAAAGGAAGCACTAGAGAAAAAGAAATGGGGAGATTATTAATTTATAGAAGTGAAGTGAGTAAGAAGGAAGGCATGATTGATAGTCTCAGATTCTTTATAAAGACCAGTATAATATTTGGCAATAGGAAAATATTTAGGATTGGTGGGAAAGCAATTCTAGTAGAGTGGCAGGATCAAAAAGGAACATTCCTTTTGGACAAGCAACAGCATTCCTGGGTAACATTCCTAATCTGCTAAATTTCCCCCCCCCATTTTTTCTTTATGAAATTTTAATGACTTTGGAGAATAGAATAGAGGAAGTTGATTAGGAAGTGAAATACTGGGCTGAACTGTATATCCATGTACCATTAATGAAAGAGAAACTGTAGTAAAAGAGTGCTTTTCTTACTTGCACTCTTTAATACCATTCAGCAATATATTGCTTTTGAATATGGTCTGACACCATGCCACACATAACTAATGAGGAAATTAGGAAGTTATGAGGGAACCAAGAGGCAGATTCTCCTTTCTGTTTATTTCCATAATTTCTGACTCCTTTTCCACATGTGTTGTTCATTACTTCCATTGCGATTATTCACTAATGATGATATTAGTCTTCCCATTCTCAATCAAGTTATGAACTACTCTGATAAAGAGATGTTGAAAGTAACTCAGTCAATCATGACTTCTAATTCTCCCTCTTCCCTCCATCTCACATTTCTCATCTATGTACTTAAGAGATTAGAAGATATTTGTCATGTCCTATTCAGTTCAGAAAATTATAATTTCAGTAATTCATCAGTTTTTCATTGTAAGGATTCCAGAGATACCACTTTAACTCTGAAGTTTTCTTTTCTATATGTTATATTTTAAGAAGCCCTAATTAAATTGTATGCCATTTACCATACATTCTGATATTTTCTTCTATCCTGAAATACCCTTTCAAACTTGAAAGTGATTGTACTTCATTTTTATGCATAATCTTATCTACTTAAAATATGGATTTTTATTCTTGTAGATTTCAGCATAGCATGTTAGTTTTTGTAAATTTGAAATGTCATTGGTTTGAACCAAAAATCTTATAATATTTTAGAATTTAGAAAATGAAAAACAGAGAACATTTATACTTCTGTAAAGAATATGATTCAGATTTTACAGATGTCTAGTCATGTCCTATTTTGCCGGTGATGTCTTAGAATTTAAAAGGACTTGGATATCTGAGTATGTAAGAATATAAATTAAATATTTCCTTAAAATTTACAAAATAAATTGATAGTGTTAATTTGCCAATAAATATATTTTATAGGCTAGGTTCTGAAACTATCTTGCTTACAAAATAAACATAGTAAAGTTTCAAAAATGAACAAATTAACCTTTCAGCAACAGCTTTACTTAAGTGTATCTTGGCTTCCTTCCTTTTTGATTGTTGTAACCTTAATGTTGCAGCTTTTTTTTTTTTCCTGGGAATGGGACAGGTATTTGGAAAAGTGATTTTGGTGAACTTTCTATTTTTTAGTGGCAAGTATTATTTTGTGACATGCAGGTATTTAAACAACTTATAAGACCCACTAGCATCCACATATAAGATTTTACAGGAATAGAAGATTTTTAGTTGACTTATTTGTATTGCTTGTTCAAAGTGGATTATAGACTGTACCACTTATGAGATTTAAGGGTTTGAAACAATATTTTATAAATACAAATAATCCCCAAAATTAATATTATATAAAGAATATTACTTAATGTATTGACTAAAATAGATTTGTTGTCTTTCCTGAATTTGCAACTATGTACCCATATACAGATTCTATACAAAATTGTGAAGACCACACTCTTCCCATTATAAATATGTTTTATTTCTGGGTGTACAATTCTATTTCATCAGGCTCTGTGTCTGGTTTTATTCCAGTACAATGAGGTTTTGATTACTATCGCTTGTATACTTTGAAGTCTGGGGGTGTGACGTCACTGTTCTTTTTTATCAGGATCACTTAGGTTATTCAGGGCTTTGCAGACAATCAGAGAATTTGGAAACTTTGGTGTATTTTGCAGTCCTTTAATGCTTAGACAGGGGACCATATACAAAGGCAGGCAGAAAGAACAATAGAGAGACTGCAACTCTGAGAGAGGCAGGACAGTAACTCCCCTGCCTACTCCCCTTTACACTGTTAAGTGCCCATAGCCACACAACTGATACATTGTTGCAAATAGAAGGCCCATCTATTGTTTGCTAGATGTTTGAATGGTGGAAAACAGCATTTCAAGGTATGGGCAGTCTGTTGTGTGGAAGGCAAAAAATGGCCTGATTTACTCATTTCCCTTGCAGTCTTTACACTCAGTATTATTATAACCTGTGTCCTCAATGGTTTTGTGTGGTGTATTGAATTTACTGGCTTGTAAAAATGAGGACAAAATCTATAGAGAATAGATGTGGTAATTATTATTTTGCAATTATTGTGCATTAGAAGACCATTTTCTTCTCCTTCCACTCCTCTTCGCATAATCTTTTCTTTCCTATCCTTATTGCCTTTAAATTTATGTAGCATTGAAATATACTTAAATCTATGATGAAAAAGAGCTTATCTTTACAATAAATAACATTTAAGAATTGAATTTTAGAAGATTTTCAGAATCTACTTCTTACATGCCATTCATCAACAAATATTTTTAAATGATCATTGTTGACGGGAAAGTTAGAATTCTAGTCATGTATTAGGATAACTCAAAAATGCTTATTAATTCTTCAAGATTACCTTCAAGAGCATGCTGAAAAGATGAAAATAATCTATACTACCTTCAGTTATTCATTGTTTTCTCTTCCCTTTTTCTATCCATTTCTCTTTAGCTTTTCTTTTTACTCATCTGTTACTCAAAAGTCCCATAAGACTTTCCCCATTTTTACCCAAAGTATTTTTTTTTTTCTTAAAGGATTCCTGTCTGATTGTATGTCTTGGGATATATGAGGGTGATGTGAGGGTGATGCATGTGCACAAATCCATATGACTGTCAAAGACATTTCACAAACATCACTGGAAACTACTTCAGTGACTATCATTAAAAGGTCATGATTACCTTTAAAACCCAGAATTTCAAATGTCTTTAGGGAATATTCTAATAGCAAATATTACAAGGTAGGGAAGACAGGTTATTCTGGAAAAGGACTGGGTTGTCACTCATAATTATCTGATATTTTCAATGGCTTGTCTTCAATAATATCACTCAAATATTAGAAACATGAACCTTAGAACTTTATGGTAAGGTGTGTCAATCACTTTTAAATCCAAGAGTAGAAAAGCCAAGACACATGGGAACATTTCTGTGGAGGGATCTTTCTGGAAGTATTACAACAAATACATTTTGCTTATTTTTGTTAAGTCCTTTTTTCTTATTATTTGGAGTTTTTCTTATTTTGTATTTAACTATATCTTATCTTTGTTTTATCTCAGGAAGTTTTTGACATGAAGTCTGAGGGACAGGCAACTGTAATTCAACAGCTGGAACAGACCATTGAGGATCTGAGGACCAAAATAGCTGAACTAGAAAAGCACTACCCTGTTGTGGATATGGAGGTGACTAGTGGCCATCATGGGATTCAGAATGGAATGGCACCCTCAGAAGATAACTGTCTTGAAGCATTCAGGTTAGGAGAAAAGGATGTACAGCATCAAAGGATTTTACAGGCAAAATCAATCCAGACATCCCCAACAGAAGAGGACAGGACATCAACACTGCCTTCTGTGAATGCTCTGCCAGAATGTCCCCCATGTCCACCTGGGGATGAAAGTGCATACTCGGTTGTGCCGACCTCACTTTCTGGACCTCAGACAAAATTCTGTTCAGAGATTTCTTTGATTGTATCTCCAAGGCGTATATCAGTACAACTTGAAGCACAAGCACAGCTTCCATCACCTCTATCCCTTCCTCAGGTGGATAGTCAAGGACAGGTTGGATCACAGCCTTCCCATCTTTCTCTTCATACTGAGTTTGAAACCAGCCATGAACATACTATGTTCTCTTCCTTTGAATGCAGCCATAGCATCCCACCCCCACCACCTCTTCCTATGTCTTGCACAGAGTCCTCCAGCTCCATGCCTGGTGTGAGCGTGGCAGCATCTCCACATCCCCCTCTCTCTGGCACCACAGGGCCTGCTCTGCCCAGTACAGCAATCCCTCCTCCTCCTCCTCCTCCTCCTCCTCCTCCTCCTCCTCTGCCTGGCACAGAAATGCTGTCATCCCCTCTCCCACCTTTGTCTAGTAAGGGAATACCTCCTCCTCCCCCTCTGCCAGGTGAGGGAATACCTCCTCCCAGGCCTCTTTCTGGAGTAGGAATACCTCCTCCTCCCCCCCCACTTCCTGGAATGGAAATACCTCCTCCCCCACCTCTGCCAGGAATGGGGATACCCCCTCCCCCACCTCTGCCAGGAGTGGGGATACCCCCTCCCCCACCTCTGCCAGGAGTGGGGATACCTCCTCCCCCACCTCTGCCTGGAGTGGGGATACCTCCTCCCCCACCTCTGCCTGGAGTGGGGATACCTCCTCCCCCACCTCTGCCTGGAGAAGGGATACCCCCTCCCCCACCTCTGCCAGGAGTGGGGATACCCCCTCCTCCACCTCTGCCTGGAGTGGGGATACCCCCTCCCCCACCTCTGCCTGGAATGGGGATACCCCCTCCCCCACCTCTGCCTGGAGTGGGGATACCTCCTCCCCCACCTCTGCCTGGAGGGGGGATACCCCCTCCTCCACCTCTGCCTGGAGTGGGGATTCCTGCAGTTCCTCCTTTGTCAGGTATGGGGATTCCACCTGCTCCAGCTCCTCCTCTCCTTCCAGGAAGAGATATTCCTCCACCACCACCCCCCCCTCTGCTTCCTGGATCAGGTTCTTCACTCTCCCCACAAGTGAGCAGCAGCACTTTACCAACACAAGTGTGTGGATTTCTTCCTCCTCCCTTGCCAACAGGCTTGTTTGGATTAGGGATGAACCAGGACAAAGGGAGTAGGAAGCAGCCTATAGAGCCTTGCCGCCCAATGAAGCCTCTCTATTGGACAAGAATTCAACTACATAGTAAAAGGTAACATGAATGACAGCTTACCTTTACAATATGTTGATATTAAGGAAACATTTTACTTTAAAACTTTAATGTATTTTTAAAATAGTATTCTAAAGCTGGTCTTTAGTTTTTTTTTTTTACAATATTTAGTGAAGTAAGTATTCTGTTATTTAAAATTATAGGTTTTTCTCCAGAGGTATGAAGGACATAAAACAAATCAAACACACATTCACACACATACACACACATATAAATATATATAAATGACATATATACAAATTTATATATACTTATATATGTCTGTGTATATAAGATGTACATATATGGATCCACATAGTTATTGAATGATCTTTTAAAGATGGAGGGATATATTTCTAACATATATGCCCTGTTGCCCAGTTACAGACCTTACTGCTACTTGCTTAAATAAATGGAAACTACACTTAATGTGCTTTCAAGAAAATGAGTCAGGACAGATAAGCAGAGACATTTGTAGCCAAACTATTTTCTATATGAAAATCTACTCTTTTTGCTGACTATTTAAATTTCCATTTCTGACAAAAAGCTTATAATGTAAATCAAATTCTTAGACAAACTGATTCTTGAGAATACATATTTTTTGCATCCTTTTGAAGGCAGTCTTGTTTTACTATCCCATTTATTTTGCAGTAGTTTTTCTTTTCAGAAATGGGGTATGCAAAAAACATCTAAACCAAATGTGTAAAATAATTTAGTTTTGAAAATTTTATGGCAATGCCTCTAGATGGTTGGCAATGTGTATGATGTCAGAAAATCATAGTTAGAAGTAATATTTGTAAAAGAATACTTCCCATCAGGTATATTTGTTATAGAGCAACCCCGATATTAAACGGGTTCCTGGCTGTGGGTCCTCACCCGCGCGCTTTAAAGGGACTTATGAATACTCTACTACAGACACACGCAAAAGGGTTAATAAAAGGTTTATTTACAAGAGAAAAAGAAATAAGGAAAATGTACAACTCAGGGAGAAAATAGGGAAATAAAGTCTTTAATGCGTCCTACCCGATCCGACGACCTGGAAACCCAAAGTCACTCTCAGAGCTAGACGGACGCCGCGAGCTGGCCGAGAGCCCCAAAATGGAGAGAGCCCCAAAGCCCACATGTCTGCCTTTTGTATCCACCTGGCTGCTTAACCCCACCCTCAGGTCCCAGCCACCTTCCCTTGGGTGGTGATGGGATGTAGAGTTCCCAGTGTCTTTGGCTTTGGCCTGGGGTGGGGGTGGAGTCCACAAAGCCTGTATGGAATTTGCTTTGGGGCAGCCTTTTCCCCCTAACACTGGGGTGGGGGTGGAGTCCACAAAGCCTGTATGGAATTAGCTTTGGGACAGCCTTTTTCCCCTAACATATTGATGGCATATTACTTATCCATACATATTCTGGAGCCTACATTCCCTGGCACCTGAGATAATGCTGGGATAGTTGGCTGTGGAATTTTCTGGTAGGTGAAATAAACACACATTTACGAATGTCACTGTACTTCTTTAATATTTTGATTCTTTGATTTGTGTGTGTGTGTGCGTGTGTACTATGGCATGCATTTATAAATAAGCCACTATCATTTTCATTTCTGATATTAATTTTCTCTTCCCTGAGTCATATTGGGGGAAGAAATCTCCATTTTTGAATACTTCTAACTCATTCTCCTTGTAGTTGCCACATATGCTGATGCATCATTTCAAACTGTACCCCAGACTCTTTCAGATATGTTTTGTAAAGTTGTTTTGTTATCCTTTTGCCATTTTTAAACCAGGTTTATCCTTTTTAGTGATTGTATGAATGTGTAGTCACTAAGAATTCATATGATAATGGGGTGATAGCAGCAATAGGGAGATGCAGGATGCCATCTTGGATCACAGAATGATTTTCTATTTTGACCCATGAATAATACACATAGATAAGCTAAATTTGGATTATGAGATAGCAAACATTTCCTGCCTCTTTATAGCTCATAATAGGAGGGTTTTTTAAAATGTTTTTTACACGTTGACTTGATAGCTGAGAATTCCTGGAAATTATTATTTATAGCAAATGTTTAATTATATATTGCTGGTATTTTAATTTTCTCATCAGGTTATTAAAATAAAATGGTAGTCTTAAAGCAAAGACTCTTCTTCCTTACCTTATCTTCCCCCTCCTCTTCTTTGCCTTACTCTCCCTTCCTTCCATGCATACTTCCTGATTTTCTCATTTTTCTTTCTTCTGCCTTTCTGTCCTTCTTCCTTTCTGCTTACACTTACCATGATATTTTGTAGTTTTATTTGATGGCTTTTTCATTGGTCTTTTGCTTAGCTTGAGAGACTCCAGTACTTCTCTTATTTGGGAAAAAATTGAAGAGCCATCCATAGATTGTCATGAATTTGAGGAATTGTTTTCTAAAACTGCTGTAAAAGAAAGGAAGAAACCCATTTCTGACACCATCACAAAGACCAAGGCCAAACAAGTGAGTACTTGTGTTTTTTCTAAAATTCAACAGTGAGAAAGCTTTAGTGTGAATTTTCATTAGGAAAAAAAAAAAAAGCTTTGAAATTGTTTTCGAGTCTGTGTAACTTCCGTAGTCCTTAAACATACAGTAAGGTTAGACTTTCAGAACATTTGTTTAAGTAAGGCTACCCTAAGTAGAACAAATAATCATCTCTACCACGTGTTAATGTCTTATTTTATGTGTATCCTCATGGTACATATTAATCAAATTTTAGCAATTGCTTTTTTCCAGAATTAGCTGTCTAGAATACTCACTTGATTGAAATCTATCTAAGATATATGGATGGAAAGAAAAAAACAAGTGGGCAAAGAAAAAGCAGTGAGCAGGAAGTCTAGTAATTAATGATATATTTGGTATTTCGTTGTATTCTAACTTAACTGGGTGCTTTTTAGAAACCAACTAAACAGTCACTGTACGTGGTGTATGCAAGGAAGTCTCATATTTAGTTCTTGCATATTCATTTGGTGTTAGATCCTTCGACCTATTCTGTGACACCTGAATCATGAAAAAAATGTGCGTTTGGAGAAAATCATTTCCAAGCAACATTTTTTAAATGATATACCCAAGGCACTTGATCAGAAAATGAGATTGTCATAAATTTCTCTTTGGTATTATTCAAGAAAGTATAGTAAAACCCCATAATAATGAACCCCAGATAAAAGGTTTTGCTATTGATGCAGGGTACGGTAAAAGCACATGGAGGCAAGAGAATCCTGAGAAGTGCAATCTTGATGGACAGTAAAAGAGAGAAATGGGACCCCAAATCCCTAGGTTTATCCTTTTCCAGTCTCCCTAGATGAGTGGCAACTCATGGATGATTCCTTGAATTTTTTCTTTTGACCTGGAAGGTAACCAGATGTATTACCTAGAGTTGTTTCCATTGTTATTTATTTCAGAGCAAACAACTCCCACCAGGCAGATGCTGCCAAATGTAGTCAGGATCCACCAACTGAGTTGGTGGGCTGCTTCACAGGCATTTCTATTAATCTGGGAATGATTCAAACGCAAATAATATGTAGTTGAATGTTTCAGAACCTTATATTGTCTTTTAACTGGTCTCTGATGATGTAAGAGCAGTGACTATGAAAAATTGGACAGTACCTGGAACATTATAGGCACTGAGTAAATATTTATTTAGAAAAATAGAGCAGTTGACTGAAGGAAGGCTTTATAAAAATCAGTAACTATGCCCATTAATAATTAAAAACCAAAAAGTCATTCATCTCATAATAATCAACACAGTGAAGGTAGCAGTGTTTACTTTAACAATAAATAGAAAATCACATTTTCTCTGTAGAGGTTAATATTAAAAAATAATCCTTTTTTGTAATATATTTGCATATATATATTACATATAGTCAGGATCCACTAGCTGGATCTTAAAATGAGTCATCATATTTGTTCTCGTGGATGTATCAGAGATGGAAAAGCTGTCTGGGCAAGAATATGAATGGAAAGTGCAGACATTAAGGAGAGTGTGACAGTAAGGATAGTTGTTTGATAAATAGGCAGATGTGACTCATCTGATAGAGATATGTCCTTTTCCACCAATGAGATTCTCTGAAAATCATACCTGCTTCACCTCCCATCGCCATTTATTTCTGTTACATGAACTCAGATAAAAAGATGCTTCATTTGCTGCCCAAGATTATAGGACTTCATAATTTATTTGATACATAGTACTCCAGTTCTAGTTAAATCGTCAAAATTTCAAATTCAGCTAGTTGATATGGCATGACATTTTAAATATGAACCATGCATGTGTATTGAACATCATTTCAACAATCACCTCACTCTGTCCTTAAGATGTTTCATAAACTGTGGAAAGAGAATTTGCCAGTGCTGTAATTTGCACTTGGCTGGCGACACTTGAGAGTTTTTGGAGCACCCTTCTTCTTGAATCCTGATGAACTCATTCGGCATGTCCTCAGCCTAGATCTTGGTTACAAGTTTTTCATTTCAGATCTGTTTTCATAGGAATACAAATATTTTTTTCTTGTATGCTGGAGAGAGGAAAAATCTGCTGTGAAGTGAAACATTGCTGAAGAAAGCTAATTTTATTTAATTTAGCTGTATTTGGCAGAAAAATCTATCCATTCCATCTACTTGAGACATTTAAAATTTTGTCTAAGGAAGATGTTTTCATATAGTTTCCTTTTAATGGGAATGTGTACTGATTGTATACGCAGACATTTTGGTACCTCATGATTAATTTTTCAGTGAAATTAATGGCTTTAATGCTGTGGACTTTGTTTATGAATGTATTTCAAGCAAGTCTTATATACAATGGAAACTAAAAGTTCTTTTCTTTAAATATTAAAAATAGTCAAATAATTTTTCAGTGATTTATTTTCTTTAATGTAAGATTGTGATTGAATGCACTGGTATTTAATGAGGTGACTGTGCTTTGTTTATTCTTTTGGAAGAGACATTTTCAGTGCACATTGTTGTTTGGCTTAAGGAGGAGGAATGTTATTCTCAGTTTGAAGACTAATGTAATGATGAATATCTCAAATTTCTCGATCATTTTTAGAATGATTTAGAACCTCAAACAAAACACATAGAATTTATATTTGTTCTCTGATGAATTCTTAGTTTATCCTTTATTTTGAAGTATTACAACATGAAAAGATAAACTGAGACGCTATTAGGATTTTTTTCCTTGTTTGGTTTTCTATTTATCACCTTAACAAAGTGAATATGATACTTATACATTAGAATTAAATATTAATCTGCTGACAACAGCAACAGTAGCTCTCAAAGAAATGAGGAAAACAGAAAAAGCAATCTTATATGATGCCCATGTTTAAAACATCCATACCATACATACTTGACAAGTTTTAGGGTATGCTTTAGAGCTAGTAAATATTTAATCTAATCTCCTTTACATTGCAGGGTAAATAAGTGGTTATTAATGTTGGTAATGATTCTAAATCTCAGGGTCTTTCAGTTCAAATAAAGATTAAGTTTCAAGTTTATGAGCAGGAAAATGAAAGAATTTGATTTGAATGATTTTAATTATAAGAGTTGCCTTTAAAAGCAGTTTTGCATTTATCCAGTGTCTAAAGAGGTCATAAGCAAATATGGTTTAGTAAACACATAGTAGTAGGAACAGTAGTACTAGTAACAACAGTAGTAATTACGACATGTCGACAATGAAATAATCATGGAAACCACAGGTGTATGTTGTACTTTAACTTCTAAGTACCATGTGATAGTCTTTGTTTTTTAGCACTGTACTTAGATTAATTTATATACAACATGTAATCTTATGAAATAGACACCCAATCCATAATGGATAGTACAGAAAGCTGAGTTGTAAAAGAATTAAATAATCTTCCCAGATTAGTAAAAGACAAAACTTTTGTTCAAACTTTAGCCCTGTATCTCCAAGGCCTGTTCTTAGTAATTAAGTATGAAATGTGGATATGAAATATTTTACATGAGTATAAATACATTATTTATATGAAGATCAGAATACTTTTAAAAAGAATTTGATTTTGTATGGCTTTTCACATATGCTCAATATTTAAATGACTGTAGTTACACTTAGGAAATTTTGTGGGGATACTTTTAAAGTTTTTTTGTATATTCTAGCAGATTTTGACAGTTACATAAATTATCATGTTATTAGACATGACATTGGCTCAGTTAAGTAAAAGTTTGAGGGATGTGAACTTTAGATGCACATAAGTTTCTGTAAATGGTAAAATCAAATACTTTTTGCTTGTGGAGTGTAAATGCTGGTTGGGGATGTACAGCCACTGTGGTTAAATCTCACCAGATGTTCAGTGATGATACTTTAATTCACCCCATGACAGTAAAGGAACCATCTCTGTAAAACATACCTTATGTAAATGATATCTAATCATGCTTAAAAGATCTGTTAAGGAAAATGCAACCTAAAATGTAAATTTGCACACAAGAGTTAACAAGAGTGAATAAGAAGAATCTGTTTTTTTTTTAATACAAGACTGACATTTGTATGACTTTTTAATACAACAAAAGTTAATCTCTTTTGTTCTGTTCATCAGATTCAAATGCTCTGCCCAAAGAATGGAGGAGAAAAATGAGTCATGATAGCTAAATATTTGTTGGTTTTCAGTTTCTGAAACATGATTAGAAAAATAGAGTTAAATTTGCTACTTATAAGAGCAAGTATTGGAAAGATTCATTAGAATCTCCATTTAGTGCAGATATAAATGTTAAGAAATTAGACATTTGATATTCTGTTCAATCTTTCCATTGTGCTTGCTGAACAAACCTCTAAAAAGGCTTTTTTAAGGTAAAAATAACAGCAGTGAGAGAAGAAGCAATCATTCAGATGTTCCTGTACGATACTATACTATGTAATGCCTCTAAACATTCTTACATGAATACTATAATAATTATCACTGAAGGGCTTCCTAATAGGTTGGGCATTGGGAAAATATATGTGGTATATTACAGGTATTTTATGCCACTATAATATTAACTTACCTGAAAAGGAAAAGGGAGAATATATTTTACCTGTAAATCTTTCTTACACTTTTATGTATTTATTGTAAATTTCATTTTTAGATTTAAAAAAATGTTTTGTCATATCAATGGATGTGTTTCATAGTGTGAATTGAATGACTGAATGTAGAAGTCTAGTTTTATATATTGGAGACAATTTTCCCTGTCATAGCTGACAAGAATGTGTTTTGGTTGATTTGGACAGTTATATTTGTCTTTTACACTAAATATCTAAAATAATGTCTGAAATGCCAAATATCTTATAATAAGACATTTTGGATTTGCTTCAGAGATATATAATAAACTCTTGGTACTTAGTAACTTTTAACTTAACATCTGTTTTTAATAGAATACATTCCTATTGCAAGTCTTAAAAATGTATTTACATAGAAAACCACATTAAAATACAAAGCTGTAATTAACTAACAAGATTTTGTAGAACCTGGATTTGCTTTAGATGT